AACAGGAACTTCGCTTGTTGGTACTCGGGTGGGAGGGAACCAACGAAGTGGGCGAGAACGAAGGGTTGTTTAGCATTGAGCCCCATTTCGCGCAAGCAGGCATACAGCAGCCCAGGTGAGTAGAGGTGCTCGATGGGGTTGCTGTTGCTGTATGTGGGGATTGCAAAGTCGAACATCTTCCGCATCAAGGCCTGTTTTGACCCCTGTGACTCCGGATCGTAGACCTTTTCCAATTCCGCAAGGACCTCTTTCGCTGACGTACAGTTGCTGATAATTGCTTTGTCAGCTTCTTTTACCACAGCAGTAGTGATAAAGTGGAACGCCTGAAGCCCCCGTTGGACTTCTGCTCTCGTGTACCCCCTACGGAGCAGTTCGGAAGTTCTCAAAGAGCGGCTCCCACAGCAAGGAGGGGCCCCGTGAATCATCGCGGTGCCCCCTATCAAACGTTATCTTACCAGTCTGCGTGACACAAAATCATCCAGCACATGTAATCAACAGCAATGTTCGCAGACTCACGAACACATACTACCCTCACCCTCAATCCTGGAATATACGGCAAAGCTGGTAGCATCAAATCGAATCCAAATCAACTGCTGAACCCCCAAGCTCCCCGCTCCATCTGCTCGGAAATTTCTTGCTTGCAATAATCTGTCGATGCTGAGAGTACATCTAACAGCCCCCCTACTCGCTGCATTGACAAGACCACACCCGGACATTAATATACTATCCTTATTTTCCTCCCATACATGCCACATACCTGACCGAAACAAAAATTTAGTGCAAGACATTCCCTTCATCCCAAACTGCGTTCTTGTCACGACACTAAAACCCTTTAACCAGAAACATTCGTTAGAATTCCTATCGGTTTGCATTATTGCTAACCATTAAACCAGAAATAATTGGGACAATTTCCACCGGTCCATCTTGAACTCGATTTCTCAGAAAATCAAACAAATCAACACAAAACGAAAATGATCTCCCGGACTATTCACTTCAAGTTCATCACGTAGTCCCGGTCGGAAACAAACTCTCTCTCAGGTAGCGCCTTCGTGAGGAAGTCGGCATGCTGATACTCCAATGCTACGTGGATGATCTCTACCTCCTTCTCATCTACGAACTGCCTGAGGAAGTGATGCCGCACGTCGATGTGCTTCGAGTTGGAAANGTAGTCCCGGTCGGAAACAAACTCTCTCTCAGGTAGCGCCTTCGTGAGGAAGTCGGCATGCTGATACTCCAATGCTACGTGGATGATCTCTACCTCCTTCTCATCTACGAACTGCCTGAGGAAGTGATGCCGCACGTCGATGTGCTTCGAGTTGGAAATCGAGATCGGGTGTTTTGCGATCTGGATAGCCCCTTTGTTATCTTCATATAGGGGAATGCAAGGCCGCAACTCCTTAGGCAACATGAAACGCCAAACCTGCCTCAAAAACAAATCTCCTTCTCCATGTCCGCCATCGCCACGTATTCTGCCGACGTGGTAGGCAAAGTCACACACTTCTGAGTCTTGGAGAACCATGCAATCGCCCCTCCTGCACACATCACTACTACTCCTCCCGAAACCGCCCTACGGTCTGCCACACGTGACGCGTAATCCGCGTCGACAAACGCATTCAAAGGAAATCCCGAAACCGTCCCCCTGTGAAAGGAAATCCCCAAAGAACTAGTCCTAACTGCATATCCTAAAATACTAAGTGCACCCTCCTTCCAGTAGATCAACTTCGATGCACTACTGTATACAGTACCTCGCCACTGCTCTCACCGAATTTGCGATATCCGGCCTAGTCAACAAGGCAATCCATAACAACAGCGAGCCGACCAGCGCGCGAAAAGGGTACTCTACGCTCGGCTCGTCCAAGTCGAAGTCCAACAGTCTCCAGGTGGTGGGCAAAGGAATGCCCCCCCCCCGCCTCGCCCCCCCCCGGTGTTTACCATCGGGATTGGGTTTTCGTCGCTTGGCAACGACGTTGTAAAACAAGCCAATTCACTTCGTGAACTCGGCAACCAGGTTCCCGTTGTTTTTTTTCCTCTCCGTTTATTTTTTTTGGGCGGTAACCATAATGATGGTTGAGTAGATCATGTTGTGCGGGGTGAACCCTCACTCCGCGCAAGGGGGATGATCGCACCACGTTGTGTTAAAATGGTCAAGCACCCTCGAGGCAGTTACACAGTGCTTACAACTGTCTCTGGAAGTGAAAGCACCAGAAAATAAATTAATTCATACGCAGCTGTCATCCGTACGCAAGGAAGTAAGCACAAGATGCCGAACACCCTTAGCAGGATGCAGCGCACCCTTCATGCGACTCGCCGAATATCTCACGGCGCTTCGCGCTTGGTGATGTGAGAGCCTGGTCCGGTGAGAACCCGGCGTGCTCCGTCCCGGCTTTGTAGGGATGCGAGGTCAATGGTCTAACGACTACAGCATGCACGACTATGAGTACATTTTTTTTTTTANGTCAAGCACCCTCGAGGCAGTTACACAGTGCTTACAACTAACTGTCTCTGGAAGTGAAAGCACCAGAAAATCAATTCAGTCATGCGCAGCTGTCATCCGTACGCAAGGAAGTAAGCACAAGATGCCGAAAACCCAAAGCAGGATGCAGCGCACCCTTCATGCGACTCGCCGAATATCTCACGGCGCTTCGCGCTTGGTGATGTGAGGGCCTGGTCCGGTGAGAACCCGGCGTGCTCCGTCCCGGCTTTGAAGGGATGCGAGGTCAACGGAGCCCCCGCTCTGAGAGGTCGTTCTCGGGTATCTTGACGATTTGTGCCGGCAGAGAGGTATCGAACGTTAGCTTATAACACGACCTAAACGATGAAACAACAAAAAACAAAAGAAATGCATGTGGTGATGACATGGTGCCAGCGTAGTATTCTTCATTTGTCAGGGAAAAATACCGGTAAAACACAAATGCCCCGATTAAGGACCACTTCGAATTCGTACTGATTGCGCACGTTCTAATGATTTCCAGAACTTTTGCTTCGGCAAGTATCGTTATGGTAGTAATACAAAACATTTCCGAAAAAAATATAAAAAAACATGCATGCCCGGGGACAAAAACAAGAAATCCCCGTGTTTTTGTGCCTGGTTTTGTGCCAAAAATGGCCTGCTTTGGGCACCACTCAAAGAGATTTCAAGTGTTTTTTGCCCCTTTCTTCTTCGGCATCGTGGCAAGCACCCCTAGAATAGACACCATGCAATTTTTTGTTGTCATCCGGGTTGATTGTGTCTCTATCCGACATACAGACGCGGTTTTTGCCCCCATTTGGACGAAAATCGAGGGGGCAAAATAGACAACAAAGGAAAAATAAGCGGATGCAAAGACAAAATGCACAACCCAAGTTTCGATCTTGCCTCGTGCTGGGTGTAAAGAGAGCGACAAAACACCAGACCACAAAGAGGCCTACGCGTTCATCGAAAATTGCCAGTATATATCTCAATATTATGACCTGGCTTACCCGGAGCCACCACACAGCACCAAAAAAAAAAGCATACATCACCTGGCGCAGAATGCTGTATAGAACGAAGTCCTCCACCAAATGGAGTAAACTTAGACTTCAATGAAAGGTGAGATCCATAGCAACACGAAAAAAAAACGAAAGGCTTTCCGCGATGGTATCGGCCAGGTATGGTTTTTTGAAAAAGTGGTCCCTAATAGGGGGGTGGTCCTTAATACCCACACTTACTCTATGTCTGCTGTGAAAGCGTCAGCCTGCCTGCCTCTCTGTCCCTCTCGTAATAGCAACCGGAGTACCACTTCAACTCCCCTAGAAACTTCACTGGCACGTACTCTCCCACGTCCTTGCCGAATTGATCACACCTCGCCTTCGTCCCCACAGCAAAAATATCGTCTACGTGTACTACAAGTAGCAACACTACTTCCCCCCCTTCGACTAAACGAAAAACACACGAATCAGTCATCATGCACTGCTCGAACCCCAAAGCCGAAAGACACTTCTTCAGTAACGCGTACCACTCTCTAGATGCCTGCCTCAAGCCATAAAGGCTCTTGTTCAACTGCACTATCTTCCCCGACAACGCACCACATCCTTCCGGCAGTCGCATGAAAATATCTTCCTTGAGCAGGGCCCTCACAAAAGCCTGGTCGATATCGAAGTGACACAGTTCCAAGTCAAGCTCACACGCCAAAGCTGCCAACATACGAACACTAGATGAAGTTACAGTAGGTGCATACGAATCACCAAAGTCAATGCACTCCTTCTGCATGTCTCCTCTCGCAACAAGTCTAGCCTTGGCCTTCGTAGGAAAGCCGAACGCATCTACCTTCCAATCAAAAATCAACTTCGACTTGATGTAGTTATCTATTCGCTGCTACGGTCCAAAATCTTCAACGCCTCTGCTTCTAGCAATCCAAACCCCTCACGCTTGACCGCATCCATGAACTGCTCGCTGTGCTCGCACTGCTTTGCGTCTTTGAAAGTCTGGGGTACTCGGAGGTCCTTGGCGTGGCAGCGCGGCNTCTCGCGCACAGCTGAGTCGAGGTCGTCGCGCGTCGCAAGACGCGCCACAAGTCCGAGCGGAACGCCCCGCTCAGACGGACCGATCGACCAACCATTCCCCATGCGTCCCTCCTCGCCGATGTCCACCTCCGGCATCTTTCCCGTGCTCTCTCCCACGCCCTCACTCCTCGCGAGCTGCTCGCCTTGGCCCCCCTTCTCGCCGCCCTCCTCCAATCCTGGCCGGAGCATTGTCTTGCCGTTCATGAANACTCGGAGGTCCTTGGCGTGGCAGCGCGGCATGTCGAGTCGCAAGAGAGGCGGCTCCATCTCGCGCACAGATGCGTCGAGGTCGTCGCGCGTCGCAAGACGCGCCACAAGTCCGAGCGGAACGCCCCGCTCAGACGAACCGATCGACCAACCATTCCCCATGCGTCCCTCCTCGCCGATGTCCACCTCCGGCATCTTTCCCGTGCTCTCTCCCACGCCCTCACTCCTCGCGAGCTGCTCGCCTTGGCCCCCCTTCTCGCCGCCCTCCTCCAATCCTGGCCGGAGCATTGTCTTGCCGTTCATGAATCGCCGAGCATCCAGCATGGAGAGGAGGACGTCTTCGTTTGCTTGAGCCAGCAGCCCCATGGTGATTTCGGTCGGAGGGAAAGGCGTGGTGACGGCATCTTCCTGCAGTGATGGCAACTGCCGGTCCACCGATAGGGCAGAAAGCTGTTGCTGGGCGATGGTGCGCGCTTCCGCTCTCGTGCGTCCTCGGATCCGCGGATCTCCCCCCTCGCCTAGCAGTCTCGAAGCATGGGGCGTGAGAGGTGCGTACCCCGGTGCGGTCGCCGACTGTGTGGTCCGCCGATCTTGGTGCGGTTGCGGCGGGGACTGCTCAGCCTCAATGGATGTCGACGACCAGTCCGGGAGCGGCGGCGACGGCCACAGCGGCGCAGACCCTGGAGGCGGCGGCGACGGCGACGGTCCGGCGGCGGCAGCAGCAGCGGGCGGCGGTGAGACGGCGGATGTCGATGACGCGGGCGGCCTCGGGAGCGGCGGAGCGGCAGCACCAGGCAAAGGCGCGGGCCACAACGCGGGCCCCGAAGGCGGCGGCGGCAAAGACGGTCCGGCGGCGGCAGCAGCTGGCGACGGCGAAGCGACAATCTCGAAGGGTAGATGCTGGGGCGTGGGTAGAGTCCTCGCGGAGGGGGTTGGTGAAGCATTGCTCCCCCCCCCCCCCCCCCCCCCCCCCCCCCCCCCCCCCCCCCCCCCCCCCCCCCCC